CCAAAAATAATAATACCATCAGCCTGTCTTAATAAAACAAAATTAAAGTGTCATTTATTATCTAAATTATCAAATCAGTTTTTTATTACTTTTTAAAATACTATGTTATCCTCTATGTCAAAACATGTCCTTGGTAACTCATTTAGCTGTGATTATGAAACTTTGGGGCTTCAGCCACACCACTTATTTGATTCCTTATGAGCTGTTCTCTTTTGTTTAATTTGTTTGCTAGACTATCTGCACACTTTATTCCAAGACTTACAGAGTTGCTCCCTGTCACACTGAAGCTTTGTGAAAAAAGTATTCTGAAGATTCACTAGTCAGTGTGACAGAGAACAGTGAGATAGTTTTCATGCAAAAACTGTAAAAAAGAAGAGAATTTAAGACAGAAGACCTAAAAAAAAAAAGCCTGCTTAGATAGAAAAATCACACATAAATTGTGTCTAAGGAGGAGAGGGGAATAAAACTGCCATAGAATCATTCATGAAGGATTTACTATACTCTGGTTTTATTTTTTTCAAAATGATCCTCCTTCTGTAGTCTCCAGCATTGCTGATACTATTATGTACATTCATACTACTATACTTGGTACACTGAATATATAAACCACTAGTAGTTTTTGTTACTGATATTTAATGTTTCCAAGATTTCCAATGCATTTAACAAAAACAGGACACTGAACCTTATCAATAATAGGTTTTGCTGATCTACCATGAAATACTACCTAAACCAGGAGTTAGCAAACTTTCCATAAGTGGCCAAATAGTAAATATTTTAGGCTTCAAGCTCTCTATTGTAACTATTTCACTTTTCAGGTTGAGCACAATATCACCACAGATTTAATGAGCAGGGTGTCTGTGGTACTGTTGGCAGTAGGCCCCAGAGCTAAACCAATATTCTCTTTATCAATTTCTAAGTATCTTTCTAATATTTTACATTTGGCTCTCTTTCACAAGAGTTTTGAATTTCATTTATATCTGGACAACAAACATGATATGACATATAAATCTATCAGTTCAATCTTTTTTTCAATCAATGTCATGAGAAAGTACTGCCTGTATGCTACATTACTCAAAATATTTTGAATAATTGATAAATTTTCAACTATTCAAAAAGAAAAAAAGACAATTTACAATTTAATCATTAACTTTTAACCTACCTTTATTTTATTTCCTATTACTCTCTGTTCATTTTCTGTTTAAGAATAGTCATGCAAAACAACATATAAAAACTTGCAGTGGTAGAAAAATACCAACTCCAGAGTAGTAATTACTTCTGAAAAAAGAAGACAATGCCATGGATTTTAACTGTATTTGAGATGATTTTTCAAAAACTATGAATATGATAATAAAACACTAAAGCAAATATCTGAAATATGTCAAGATACTAAACTTTGACAAAGCTAAATGGTGGATGAGAAGGGTACTTTTTCTATCATTCGTACTTTTTCTCTTTGCTTAACACAGTTGATGAACTATACAGTCCATGGGCTAAATCTGGCCCACACTGCCTGTTTCACACATCACCTTTTATCCCTCCCTCTTTGCCCACTACTAAGGTTTAAACCGAGGGTGTTCTGTAACTTAACTTTATCCTGAACTCTTTTTAATTTTTAAAAAAATTTTGACACAGATCTTGCTAAATTTTCTCAACATGGTCTTGAACTTACAAACCTCTTGTCTTTAGCTTCCAGAGTATACAGGATTATAGGTGGGTGCCACCACATCCCACTTGATGGTTTCTTTCTTTTTTTTTTAAGACAAAGATCACTACCTGATGTTGACTTTGTGACACCAGAATGCCTAAAATATTTACTATCTCACCTTTCATAAAGAAAGTTTGCCAACTCCTGGCTTAAAATGTTTCATGATGCTGTGCCGGCCCTGCCCCCAGAGTATGCTGAGGCAGCAATTGAGACTGGGCATGGTGGTGCATGCCTGTAATCCCAGATCTTGGGAGGTGGTAAACAGATGGATCACTACAAGTCTGACCTAGTAGTGAGACCCTGAACACCCTGGAGACCCTTTCCTAAAATACAAAAAAAAAAGTTTCACAAGAAGAGAAAACTGAAAGAAAAAGGGGCAGGAACTAAATCAAGGAAAAATGGTTTTTCTTCTTGCATTAAGTATCATCATGAATGATACATATTACCTCTAAAATAGTTTTTAAGGGCTGGCAAGATAGCTCAGCGGACTAAGCACTTGCTTTGGCAAGTGCAGGGACCAGGGTTCACTCCTTGGTTCTGCATGCCGCACTGGTATAGTAGCGCATGCCCGTAATCCCAGTGCTAGGGAGGCTGGAAACAGGAGGATCACTGAGTCCAAGTTGCATAGTGAGACACTGCACCAAATACATAAAATGAAAAAAATAAAAAATAAAAAAAGTTTTAAATCTTTCAACTTTTATCAACCAGAAACCTCACCAAGTTTTATTCTGTTCTTTGATGCTAAAACTTAATAAGAGGTGTTGGAAACAGCATTTTTTTTTAGAAATAGTATTTTAATCAGATTTTCATTTCAGTCCATCCTTGAAAAAAAAAAAAAAACGGGGAAGCTCATGTAAAGTGCTGTGTGGGATTATTAGCAGCTCTACTTAGGGCTATCACTAGGGGCTTGAAAGTGCTTCTGAGATTGGAGGGATCAGCAGGAATCTGTATCCTTTTCTGCACAGGAGACAATTGAGGAAGAGGGTTGGAAACAAAACAAAAATAAAATGCTATATCACAGTGTTTCTGGCTATTATGGTTGTGAAATGTATAGGTCATCAGAGAAGATCATAATTTTCTTTTAATAGACTGTTGGGGTAAATGGTGAGTTAACAGATTTACATGCTAACTGCTTAGCGTGCTTTAGCTCATAATAACTGGTAGCTCTTGAGATATTACCATTTGGATATTGCTATGCAGGTTTTTGCTTTCTTTATAAGATTTTAAGCACACTAGTATTTTCTGTGACTATGAAAGGATCTTTTACTTTTGAAATTAATTCCCAGTTTCTCTCCCAGTGATAACCCAAGTTAACTAGAGATATTAACATTTGTAAATCAACATCTGATATTTACAAAAATATTTTACAGAACTACTCAGTGAACATATGAAGATTTTTATGCTTAAATCATATTAAAACCTTGAAGATGCATTGTTTTAAAGTGTAATAGTCACTAGGAACTAAAAATGTGCACAGAATAGCAGCCACAAAATATATACCTGGTGAAACTATTCATATGATCACAACCCACCTATTCCCTGCTCAAAAATGAGTTTCTTTTTTTGGACAGGGTTTCACTATGCAGTTCAGGTGGTCTTGAATTTGAGGTGATCTTTCTGTCTCAGCCTCCCAAATCCTCTCAAGTGCTGGGATTACAAGCATGGGCCACCACATCCAACATCAAATTAAATTTTTTTTTTTTGCGGAACCAGGGATTAAATTCAGGCCCTTGTGCTTGTCAGGCAAGCACTTATTCTACTGAGCCAGCCCTTAAATGAAATTTTTATTGATACTAAAACAATATATCATTTGAGTTTTAACATGGCCACATGTTATTAATAGATTATTTTTAAAATAAAATTACTCCATAATATTTACAAATGTACAAAAAAGCATAAATAACATGAAAAAATACTGATGGTTCTACCACCCAAATGATGAAAGAGAACACTACTTATCACCGCTCAGTCTCTCAAGGAACTCCCCTTCCTTGGTTGTATTCCCTGTCCCCAGGGTTAGCCACTATTCTAAAGACTGTATTTTTTGCTTCCACATATTTCTTCATACTTTTGTACAGATTTACTTATCTTAAAATTCAAATCATTATTTTATAACTTGCTTCGTTTGTGAATTCATATAGGATGACATATATGAACATTCATGTGACAGAGATCATGTTTACTGAACAGTCCAAATGCCTTTGTATGCCTCCCAGCTTTTAAGATGGAAGCACTGGACTATGAGTAGTAGTTAAGTATTTCAGGTGTAGGACAAAGTGTAAAATCCCTTTCATCCTGTTTTCAGTGAACTGAGAAAGCCACATACTCCAGATGGGTCAATGAGGCATCTGGAAAGAACATGAGCCTAGTAAGAACATGGAGCCTCCATCAGCCTGGGTCACTGAATGAGGTGGCAAAGTCCCTTGACAACTCCTAATTTGTGAAACGAGCAAGGAATAATCTTGTGCTAACATACACATATGTATACTCAGATGGGCAGATAACTACCTTTCTGCAAGTATTCAGAAGCAGTGCTACCACTAGGTGGACACATTCAAGCCTTCTGAAAATACTTTTAGGATTCAAGAATGATACTCTCATTTACATTTCATATGCTCTATTACTATCTTTTTTTGAAAACCTATTGCATTAACAAGACTTTCAGATACATGCTCACATTCTACTTTTCTAAAATGTTAGTTTTTGTCTCACCAAAGAAGTTCAAGCTCCTTAAAATCATGTCCTTGCTGAAGGAGGTGGTTCATTCCTGAATACCAGCTAGCCAATCAGGGCAACTTAATGAGACCTTACCTCAAAATAAAAAAGGATGGAAATATAGCTCAGTGCTAGAGTACTTCCTTAGCTTGTGCAAAGCCCTGGGTTTAATTCCCAGTACTCGGGGAAAAATCATGCCCTCTCTCCTCTTGAATTCTATTCTTTACTTTAGAGAAGTCTACACAGGCATGCAGTAAAGAGTGGGCCCTCAGTTGACAGGGAAGTATAAGGACTAATATTAAATGCTTACTTTATATGAACACTGTTCTTCAGCACTGGTACTTCATAAACACTAATATACACTAAACCCTTACTACTTCCTCTATATGGGTGAGCAAATGAAGGCTAAAAAGGTATGGAGAGGGTAGTCTGTTTGACTCTAAAGCCTTTTTTACTAAATGAGATCACTCCTAATGTAGAACATAAAATGGCTAACAAAAATAGATTTTGTTTATAAATTTTGCAAACATTTAAACAGTTCTTTAGAGACTGCTCAGGTCTCAAGATTATTGGGTCTTACCTTGATCACTTCTGGGGTCTGCTGAATCAAAACCATTGAGGTAGTGTCTTTGGGTTTATCACCAACAGGACCCTTACAGACTGATAAATTTGCCTTAGAGGAAGTTGTCAAAGTTTCCTGTAGAATTTGCATCATTTCTTTTTCCTGGGATAGGCTACCTCTGCCTGATTTGCAGTCAACTAGTTCTTGTGCAAAGTCTTCAATACTCTCCAGAATTCGCAGTAAAAGGGCTCTATCCTCTTCCTCCATTTTGTGTCCATTGGTTTCAATGATTCTTGATAAACAGGAAGGTGAGACTTTTTCCACAGATGAAGAATCTTTAGATTTAGGCTCAGGGAGCTGATCAGTCAAATTATTGTGGCTATTTAGAGAACTGGAGTTTTTACCACTGGCAAGTGGCTCTCTTAGAGAGGTCTCCATCTTTTGTGAAAATGATTCCAAATCCATTAACAATTTATCTATCTCTTCCTGACTGTTGGAATTAATAAAATCTGTCTGGTCTCCTATTCCTACTTTATGAACTTTAGATTTAGGGTCTTCTTCAGGTAGATGGGCAACTGGTTTCTCAAATATCCTACCAATTTCATTTTGTATTGAGGCAGAAGAATTTTTATGATGAGTACAATGGTCTGAAAATTCTTTATGTTCATTTACCTTTAACAACTCATGACTTGGTCCATTTTCTGTTTGTCCTTTATGAAATAATGTCTTCTTTCCATCTGACTCTTCTTCAATATAAAGAGTTTCCATTAAGTCTCCAGAAGAAACATTCTCCATAGGATTTATGATTAATGATGGTGATTGAAGCTGAATAGCTTTTAAAGTTCTGGGATTATTCAACTCCAAGCTATATAAGGAATTTGTAGAGTTGTTTGGGTTGGCTTTTACAAGGTTCATTTTCCTAGAGTTATGCTTGTCATCTTGGAATTCAATAGTCTGAAACTGTCCAGAGTCAGGAGCTGATAGCTGGACAACATCTTCATATTTAGGGGGCTGTTCACTGCCATATATTGGTGAGAAGGGAGTCAGCCGTAAGCTAGGCATATTACTGACTAGCTCTGTTAAATCCATGGATTCACTGTTTCCAGACTGCATGAATTCAAATGGTAACTTTTTCAGATATGAGGCTAACCTGGTCATGACATTCATATAGACAGTTTCAGAACTAGAAAATGTATCATTACCACTTCCTTCACTGATGCTACCTCCTGATTTTTTCTTTATGCATTGTTTGATGATATCTGTGCATTTTTTCAAATCCTCAGAGCATTTCAGTAAGATATCTAAACACATTTTTATATCTGTGCCAGAAGAGAAGTTATCTATTTTATGTTTTTCCAAAATCTGAGTAACCAGGTCTTCTTCAGAGAAGTTTTGAAGAAGCATTGAAGTTAAGTTTGTCTCAAGTGAGTTTCTATGAGACAAAGATTTTTCCTCAACTGAAGAGCTCCTGAGTAAACCAAATGATGGAGAGGTCTCATCATTGTTATAATGGCCACAGAGCAAGTCCAAGTCAACTGACCTCCTATTAAATGAGTCAGACTTAACTTTCCTTCCCTTTTTGTAAGCTACATGGTTAGTGTTTTTTAGTTTTTCAAATGAAAATTCCTTTATTTTCCCACTGGCCAAACTGATTGCTTCTCCTGCAATGTCCTTTAAATTAATATTCTGAAATGTAGATGTTCTCTTGACTCTGGGTATGCCTGTGAGGACCTGATGGGGATAGTCACCATCTGCTGAGGAAAGTCCATTTTCATGGGGTAGAAACACGGCATTCAGATCTGCATCTTTGAACTGAGGCACAGGAATGTGCAAGAGGTCTGCACAAACACTGTGATGTACCACAATGCAGTCAACTCCATGTGTGAAGGTATGGCAGGTTCCAGTGCAATAATGTATAGCTTGCTCAAAACGTCGATCTATCACCACACTGCTGTAGTGGTTCACAGTACTAACCACAAGTCTGTAAGTTGCTGCCATATCATCAAATCTACTGTAGTGGAACTTGAAACTTTCTAGAACTTGTCTTGAGAAAGGTCAACCTAAATGACAGCTAAAAATATATTTAATGAAAGTACCCAGTTTTGTGGGTACAAATATGACTTCCAACAATGGAAAATCATTTAAATTTGAGGTCTGATTAACTATCAGTTTACAGTAGCTGCTGCACATGTGTGCTTGTATTATCAAGTCTTAATAATTTAATAATTGTTCTTTTTAATTTAGTAATATGATACAATTGGATTATTTTTATGAAGCAATATCCTTTTAGTTCTTCAATAGTTCTACAATGCAGAAATTTGTCATAAGTTTACTGTCATAAATTTCAGTTGGTAGCATAGATGTATTGTGATAACTGAGTCCTCCAAAGGCTTAAATGATCCATTTTTCTGTAAATGACAAACCTATAATAAAAGAAGAAAATACTTAATATAGGAAAATCGATGTTTTCTTTCTTTGCATCCTATATGCATTTAATTACTAAGCCCTATTTCTTACTACTAATTGCTGATACTCAATAGGTGCCTTTCTTTTGTCACTCTACACTTCTTGCTACCTAGGACTTACACTATTTTAACTCTGCCTTGATACATCTTCATTCCAGTTCAAATTTCTTATCCAACTCTTCTTGCCCCCTAATGATTCTAACAAATGTAGATTTAGACAGCTTTCTCATCATTGACAGCTCAAGAATTCATAATCAGATTTTCACTTTCAAGCCCTATAACATCTGTTCCCATCCACCTATATCTGAATTTTCAATTTACAATGTATATCTCCATGTTCTATCAGTCTAGGATTCTCAAAGACTGCTAACACAGTGCTTATTCATTATATTGAAAATTCCACTACATATGAAAATTATTCTCACAACATCTTCCCTTTTCCTATTTAGAGAAAAACTGTATTACTGTTCTTGATCATATCTTCCAGAGTCTGTCTCATATAGATGTCTGTACCTCAAGTAGGTAGAATTTACTTACCATTCTTTTTTTCTTATCTTATTTATGTATTATTTTTTCATAATTTTATTGATAAACAAAGAGCAAAGAGACAATTTCAAATCAAATCGCTAGGACAGTATCAATAATTAACACACTGCATACATTCTTCTTAGTGGTTAATTGCTGTACAAGATGCGGACTTGAGATCCTATTTACAAACACCATTAAAACAAATCATTCTAT